GGATAGGATTTTAAAAATGTTATATTTTGATAACAGGGATGTTTAAAAAATAACTTTAGAGTGTCCTTCAGTCCGTCTGTCTGTACATAAAAACTGTTTCCTGTGATCATTTTTAAAGAACTTTTTCAACAAATTTACTTAAAATAGGAACCTAAGTGAATGGCCAATGGCCCTTCAGAATGTTGCTTGGGCTCTTACCGGTAGGGGACTTATGGATTGCTTGCAATACTATGATAATTGCTTGTTTCTCTCTTTATTTCAGGTAAATGATAGTTATGAGTTGTCATTTCAAGCAGGAGATATAAAGTTAGACTTTTTCTTTTTTTATGAAGAGAAGGATCATATGTGGAATGGAGGGACACATCATGAAACAGGACAAAAATACAAGTTAGTAGCACAATTATGAGGGTGCTTTGATAACCTTTTATTTCCTTTTCATTAACAGATTTGAGCAATTTAATCATAAAACTGAGCAGAGGGCAGTGTTAGGAAAATACAGCATGGATATGCAGACTGATTTGGCACTATACTGATGACAAACTTGAAAGATCTTTCATTAAAACCATTAGTAATCAAAAGTTTTAAGAATAGTTTGCATAGCTTATTGATTAAGAAAAACTAAACAACCTGGGCATCTGGCAGAAAGTAAAGTCTGTTCATAAGTGTTTACTTTTTACTAATCTCTGTTGTCATCAGAGTTATAAGAGTGCAGATTTGCCCTTCCTTGGGTTAAAGTCACATGCATATGAATCATGCCCATAGGGTAAAAAATGCCCCGACCAAGGGGTCATTCTACATTGTAAAGGATAATTATAAATCATATTTTGAACAAGTTTTTCATGAATGGTTCTACCCTAGTTTAAAGAATATTTTTGATTACTTGACTAATTTTGCATTCAGGTGTGTATTGCCATGTCTTCGCGATGCTCTTGTTAGGCGGGCCGTCCAATAAGCTTATTAGGTAGAACGTTGGACTGTGAATCAGGCGACCTGGATTCAATTCCTGGATGGGGCAGGTCACTTTTGTTGTAATTGATCATGAAATCCTTTCTACGGTCATTGGCACTGTATCTCTGATCTGGCATATACAGAAGTTAACAGTTTCTTGCAAAAGTGATGATAACTAGTACTGGTAAATTGCTTGACAGCATGCAGAAATGAGGTGGTGGCTGATCTGTGCCCTGGTAAATTCATTGGGCTTACTGCCATGATCTGGAACCTTACTGCTCTTGTTAAAGACAACAATTAGTACCATATCACATATCATATGTTAACAAAGTTGAAACTATTCATGCATTTCAGGTATATATTTCCGAAGTTTTCCATGTGTTGGACAATATTCCTTGATTTGAAGGTGAGAGTGCCCTGTCCACCTTTACCATACATTGAAGCTAATTATGGTAAGAACTGGATGGAACCAGTCAAAGATTGGGAATGGAACAAAAGCCCTCCAAATGTCAGAGAAAATGGTTTCTGGCCTAAAGATGAATGGAATGATGTCATACAAGTCTACTGAAAGATAAATCATTATGGGATTATTTAAAGGGTATCTTTGTAGGAACCAGTCTAGATATTTAGCTTTAGTTTCAAATAGAGTGAACCAGTCAAAGTGAGTGAACTGGTCAAAGTGAGTGAACCAGTCAAAGTGAGTGAACCAGACCAGTCAAAGTGAGTGAGTGAACCATTCAAAATGGTATTATTGATACATAGAGGGACACAAGCATTAGAATAGATGATGAAGAATGGTATAACCTGTCGTAAGAAAGTGTGTAAAGGCAAATAACAGTGGGTGAACATTTTCTTGAGGGGTTACAAGGTCACTTTTAGTGATAGGTATTAAAGGATAGCATGATAGTGTTTATGTGGTGATATTTACAGTTTCTTGAAGCAACATCTTCTCCCTAACTGTAGAATATGGTCAAGCTTTACAGGAATGATTTCTAGGTTGCTTTAAGTCAGTCTGATGCATATGTAGGTCATAGGAAGTTGAACTGTAATAAATATCACATAGTCCAATCCCCAGCATTCTAGTCGAGTGTGAATCTTATCATGACCATCTAGTCAGTGTTTTGGTATTTGTTTTATGATACAATGTACATGTATGTTAACTTTTTATAATACTGCACATTTGTAACATCGCTTTTCATTGGATTATTGTGACGTTTACATAAATTTATACACATGTACATGGCTGACAATTTATGAAGAAATCACACTTTTACCTCTAAAACAGGAAGTTTTCTGCATTATAAAATTCGTTAAAGAGATTCCTAACAGGTTATATGGCCGTACATTATTGGTTATTTGCAATATAACTCGCCAGGCAGCTCTGGTTTTATTTACAAGAAACCGTTTATATATAAGGCCATATAACCTGTATAACTAATAATAAATGCCCTGTTAGAACAACATTTTATATTTCACCACATTTAAGGATCAATATGTTTAAAGTGGTGTGTTAATGATCTCAATTGATATTATATGCAAAATAAAAAATATGAGCTGTGTCACGACAAAACCAACATAATGGGTTTGCGACCAGCATGGATCCAGACCAGCCTGCGCATCCGCGCAGTCTGATCAGGATCCATGCTGTTCGCTTTTAGTTTCTTTACTTGTTATAGGGTTTGTAAGCGAACAGCATGGATCCTGATCAGACTGCGCGGATGCGCAGGCTGGTCTGGATCAATGCTGGTCGCAAACCCATTATGTTGGTTTTGTCATGACACGGCTCAATTATATATTACTTAAAGTTGTTTTCATCATTTCTTAATAAATTATGATTATTGTAGGGTAACTTGAGCTGAAACAACTTGATTTTACTTGGCTAGGTGGGCGCCTGATACGTTATAGTAAAATCCATGTGCACCAAATACAAGTAAAAGATTAAGATACTCCTATAATAACCCTTATATTATATTGTATTGTATTGTATTATAATGTCAGTAAACAATACATTCAACCATAACATACTTGGCATTATGCCAGCAACATCATTGTGTGATGCAGATTTTTTTCTGTCTGTATTTATGCAAGTACATGTGATACATAGTACATGTTATATATGAAATAGCAAAAAAATGTAGATAATGAATACCAGCATATGATAAATGGCATTACGAAGTATTAAATCAGGCACTCCCATTATAATGACTGCATGATGAACAATCCTAGAATATTGGCACTATGAACAGTCAGTGGCATAATTGTATTTCGATCTGTTACTGATTGGCAAGTAACTGTCATATGTAATGGTATCACCAAATAACATTTGTCCAAAAAAAAAAGAAAAAAAAAAAAAGAATCTTTACCAGGCCGGATTAAGAAAATACTTGGCCATCTAAAAATATCGGAAACAGATGTATCAACAGTAACTAATAAATTAATTAAACTATATGATGCACTGATTAAATTGCATTTTGCTAAGATTATCTATAGACGATACTGGAGGTACGTACCTACGGAGAACATACCTAGGAGGTTACGTAACCATTTTGGAGGATAGACGTACCACTTAATATTTGGAGATAGCTTACCGATAATGATAATTTATATAAAAGGTAAAATATGTGAGGTTGCCAAAGTAGAAATTCTATACTGGCTAATGTAGAAAAATTGACTTATTACTTATAACTGTATTGGTTTATGTCTATTATATTTACTCTAAAAGTTTCATTAATTAAAACATATTTTCTGTTCTATATATAATTTACAGAAAATTCAGTTTGTTACATTGTTTATGAATAAAATATTTTTTCTGTTTTTCATTTGTTTATTTGTGAATACCACAACAAGTGAAAATTGTTTGTTTTATACACCTCTAAGAGAATGAATCACACGTTTATGAGAAAATCATTGATATCCTCTGTAACATTTATATTTTCTATTTGGATGGCTTACAAGCACACAGACTAAACAAGACCCGAAGGATGGTTTATATATTTTATTATATGTGTTGCATCCAAGTATACACTCATAAACTCCCAAACATCGAGTAAACATACACACAGTAACAATAACGATATTGATGATATAAAGGCGTGGCTTATTATATTTGTAGACTTGCTTACTACATCCTCCTCTATCTTTAGTTTAGAACTCATCAATAAAATCAATAAATTTAAATCATCAAAAATTTAAATTTAAATGTGCAAACATATTGTAATAAGAAATATTTTTTCGGTATGAAAATAAGCTATACAGCAAGTCTATTGTTATAAACTCTTCTCCTTTTCAGCAGAGTTTCATTAACCAATGCGATTTACTCTAATCAGTGTACTGGGCATCTGCTTCAACGAAGTAATGTATAAATATAATGTTATTGTTAATGTGTCATATCTTTTTCTATTTTTCGTAATGTCACAAAAACGATCAAGCAAATTACATTATTATCACAACATTTGTTTCAAAACAACTAGCATTGTTATCAAAAGAATGATTTGTTTTTCTGTAACCAATTTTAAGGTAATTTAATAAAAACCAAAAGTATTAATTTCACGAATAACAGATTGTTCTCACACACGTTATCATTTTTTCCTAAGATTAATAAATCCAGCAAGCGGATATAAAATGATACACTGCTATGACAGTCAGGGTGTAACTTAACATGTTATCATTTTTATAACCATAGCCGTTATAAAATTTTATCTGTTTACTAACAGGATCAACTTTGTAAATGTTTATTTTATTCGTATATCTTCTCCGTTTTCATTGAAAAGTGACTGTATGTACACGTATATTGTAGAGTACCCGATAAAAAATATATATAATTATATAATTTATATAAAATACAAATAATATAGAGCATAACAATTATAAAAAAAGACCGAATTTATAACTTTAATATTACTTTTTAAAAAATCACATAAGAGCAATTAATTTAAATGCAAACGTTTTACCTATATCTATGTATGATTATCACACATTCAGAATGAGTAATCTAAACAAATCACAAACAAATTGCAAACTATTGACATATGATTGAATACACTGATTTATAATTGCAAGTCTCCGGTTAGTACGTAATACTGATTTTTTAAAATGAAATTTTGCGGCGATCAACTTTTACAGAAAGCATGCATGCATAATTTCTTTCTTAATAAGAAAAACTTATTAATATTTAATTCAGATTGTTGACAACTCAATAAGAAGTAGACCACCTTTAAGTTCCAGCAATGTTACACGGCACTACGAGTGCTGTAGCTGGCATGATGGAAGTCGAGCAACGGCTGGCACATATTTTTAAAAATACTTGTTAATTGTGTATTGTTTGTTTCATTTCAGAGCGTGTAACATAATTATTGTTATTTTCATTTTATGCACAGTTCAGTTAACGTGTAAATGAAAACTAAATGTAAATGTATAAATGATAAAATATGTAACGCTTGTTTAGTTTTATTTTATTCAAGGTAAGTAATTTTGTCCGGTTTATTAACATGCATATGAAATATTATTATTGCTTTTGATTATTTTGTTTATTCAGTTAATTTGAGTTAAATGCGTATAAATAAAACAATAATACTATAAATGAAAAAAAAAAATGTTTTTTTTATATATTAGCTGTGGTTTGTTTCATTGTACTGTTCATTTCAGTTAAGTGCGTGTATTATATTATTGTTATTAATTATTTTCAGTTTTGTGTTGTAAAATAAAACTTGTTATTATCGTTAATTGCGGTTGTTGTTTATTCTTATATATTCATACATATTTAATCTCATTACAAATACAATTAATGCGCGAATTTGAACAATAAACCTTATCCCTATTATTATCACTTTATTATATATTTCTATAGTGGTACGTAACCTCCAAAAATGGTAACATTTATGCAGTGGTACGTAACCTCCATGGTACGTAACCTCCAAATTCCAATGGGCAAACTTCTATACCGTGGTAATTGACGCAAGTATCAGAGCCTAACATTGATTTTTTTTTCATTTTAAAGGTGTCGAAAATTAAACTTTATGAAACAAAAAAGGATTATTATCAAAATTTGTAAACTATTTCAATTGATGTTATTTTAACTGCGACCTAACGCTATTTTTTCTCGATGTCTTGAAATGATAAAGATCGATATTCGTACTTCTTTTACTGTAGCCAACAAGGCGATTAATCTCTATTTAAAGTAAATATACGAAGACAATTACTATTTCATGGTTAAAATCCTCGCTTAAAGTCATGAAAAAACATATATGTATAATTTCGACTTCTATTTAAATTTGAAAAGTGCCGTACGGCTAGACAATACAGTGTGTCCTGGCTAGTCGTACGTGACTCACGTACGGCTAGAACTTTTGGCTAGCCGTACGGGCCCGTACGGCTAGCCACTTCCATTTAAATTTGAAAAGTGGGGACGGTATACTTTGCAGACGACTTTGCAGACAAGTTAAACATAGAGGGATTTTGCAGACAAGTTAAATAAAGAAGGAATTTAGATTTTGCAGACAATATAGATTATATAGGGGGTGTTTAATCCTTTGTCAAAAGGTGTGAATGGGCAATTATATTGATTTAATACCATCTAGAAAGATCTATAATTATTTGCAAAACTTTATTTATTATTTGAAAAATAGTTTTAATGATGATTTTTTTTAACAATAATTTATGCTTTTATAAAAAAAATATAAGAATATAATTTAAAAAAAGCACTAAGTAATTGCATGAGACAGAATTTAATTATTATAACAAACAAACAATATTAAATAACTTTTTTTAATTTAATACATAAAGTATAGACAGAATAGAGGTTGAATTTTG